GATCTTTGGGTCAGAAAAAGAAGCTCTACTACTTGACTCAAATGGGCCCCCATTCCCCACAGATTTTTTAGAAGCTCCCTCTGTTTCATAGCAGAATTCTATCTCCAGACCACCCTCAGCAAATCTTGGACTAAGTTGCCATTTAGCAGTCTTCAGTGATGAACAGTTCATCATCCAGAGAGTGGTTTTGGAAATGATTAGCCCAAATCTTACTGCAGCACAGTCCCTTTATTTCTTACCCTGTTGCCAGCAGATACGAAGAATAATTTAATCTTCCTTGCCACAGTCTTTTATGCATTTGGAGAGTTCTGCAGATCTTTCTTCAAACTTTTCCAGGCTGCCCTGTCTCTTTCATGCATTCCTGTTAGGCTCTATGTTTTAAATTTGGTCATCTATTATTCCTCACTCGTTGATTTCTCCAGTTGATAAACTTTTTTAACAGAACGTGCTCCAAAGTTTCTGATTTTCTGAATTTCCAAAGTTTCTGCATTTCTGATAAGGAACTGCAGGTGCCAAAGAAGAGTGGAATCATTATTTCAATACTGTATTTTTGGAAAACCTTTAATGCATACCAGTATGATATTTTCCAAGTCAGAAACATTATTGATTCATGTTCCACTGATGGCCTACTACAACATCAGCTCTCTGCAAAACTATTCTTTGCTTCAGAACAGTTTTCCATCCTAAAATCTTGCAAATGCTTAGTGTTTCACAACACTACCATGTACTCCTTCCCAAAGGAAGTCTCAAACTGTTTTTGTTATACCATTTCTCCCAGCGATAAGGATCTTACTGACTTCCAAGCCTATCTTCCCAAGTATCTGCAGCTCCTCCCAAATGCATAGATAGAGGTTATCCTATATGGAGATCTTCACACTTTAACAATGAATCATTAACAACTATCTTACTGCTATGTACAAAAGCTTTTATCATGGCAGAGACATAAATTACTCCTGACAAATCCGTGTTGCAATGTCTCACTCTTCTATCAGATGACAGTGCTATAATGATTTAGTAGTCAGTTTGTTCTACCTGCACTTGTGTGTGGATGGGCAAATGCATGTTTTGTTTTTGTTCATTTATATTGGAGAGATTGTGGAAGCTCCTTACACTGCATATTAAGCACTCAGTCCTTGGAAAGGATGCAACATCTAAAGAAGGGTTGTGACTAACCATAAGCAGGTATTATGGTAATGATGCAATATACATTAGGTTTGAAATGTTTACCACACCGTAATTATAAAAATATTTTTTCTGGCACCTGTCATTGCACTGACCTTAACAAACAATGGTGTTTGATTAATCAACCCTGCTCCCTTGTGAACATGACATAGCTGTCACGTTTGTCTTTCAGTTGGAGAAACTCGGGTTAATTCTTTGCTAGGACTGCCATAATACTTTCAGACCAAGTGAAAGGAGTCCTATGACAAGAGAAATGCTGATAGTCGGATACCAAATAGACAGCAGATGCTACAGCCAACCCATCAACAGAAGGTGCAGCAATCCTGCTGATGTGTGGATCACTTGGAGGAGGCAATCTTTTGTTGTCTTAAAGGGTGAACCTCAGTCCTGCAAATGACCTGCAAAACATTCATAATCAGTTTTTGTGATCCTGAACCGAACAGTTTTAAGATTGCTGATTTTCTATTTTTTTTTACTACAGCTGACTGTAATTGCCAAGAGGACAGCAAAGATATATGTTATCCATGCAAGCCAGCCTGTGCAGCACAGCCTGTCCTCTGAAAAATGCTGCCTGCTTCAGACAACTGTCACTGCATTCACTCACTACAGTATTTGTTTTCTTGGGTCCCACACTGGAGTTTCACTGAGTGAAATGCTATTTGGTTCTCAGTAGTGCAAAATACACTGCTGTTCAAACAGCAGCCTGAAACCATTGCTTTATGTGAGCAGCTTCAAAGATACAATGAAAAAGTAAACATCATTTGAACATACATAATATTTTATTCATCCAAAACCTGCAGTAATTCACAGCTGTACCATGTATGCTCTCCACCAGCTCACTGTAAACGTATTTTCTTAAACTGTATGCCCTACTGACATGTGATTTACCAGAAAGGCTGATGCAAGCATCTGGCTACCTGGCAGTATGCTTGGGGAGGGTTTTCTGTTATGAAATGTGTTATTCAAATACAATGGATTACAGTGAGCATTGCACAGACAGATGAAAAAATAAGTATTGTGTTAGTGTCGGTGATTTACAGGGCAGGAAGGGAGGAGTTGTGTACAATTATGTGGCCAGTTCTGAAGATGAATTCTAGGGTAGCTGTGGGGGATCAGTCATGATAGTGACAGTAGGTGTAAGCTGAGCTCTCAGAGGTGGAAAGTCAGACATGTAATTTGTTTCCTCAGATGAGTCTGCCAGTTAAATCTTAGCTCATTTCCAAGCCTAAGTTATAAATATATACACACACACACACACACATATGTTTGTTGCATGTTTATTTGCTTATGGCTAGGCACGTGTATAAAGAAAATACCCAGGTCAGAGCTGGGACAACTTTACAGAAGATAAATATATTCTGTAAAAGAAAACAAGCTGAGTTGGCAAGATGGAAAGAAAATATATGTAACTCCTGAATATCTTGAAGGCCATTATTCTTAGCCAAGACCATCAAGTCTCAGTTATCATAGTGTATTTATAGGTTTGGTTTCAGGGTTTTCAGATGAAAGTTTAGCCTTATGAAGCCAATGGTAATCCTCTGGTCATTTTAGCCCAGAGGGATAATTCTACACTGCCCCATTGCAACAACTCCCAGTTCGGATAGCACATTATTTGACACTTCACATCCTGGCTGTGCTGTACCCTACAGCAAGGAATCAGCCTCCTTTACAGACAAGACTTCAGATTTGTTGCTTCAGTCTTCAACATTCTTGCAACCTTCATTCTGCAGTCTAGGATCTGCATGCAAAAGCGTAGATAGACGCTGTATTTCAAGAAAGAGCACACACAATTCCAAAACAGCATTGTATTTTAATGTATGAAATCTATTGTTTGTCAACCATGCAATGTAGCAGACAGAAATAGGTGTAGAGGGATCCATTCCTAGTAAGTATCTGAACAACATTATTTTGTTTTCTTAAAAAATAGCTGTTAAGTAACATAGACAGAAATCTCATAGACAGCAAACATCTCCTGGTGGAGCTGGTACACCTAATGCTACAGTTGGATTAAAGTCCTCTCTTGGGTCACTTTCAGCAACTGTCCCATTTGCTGTCTTTTTCTGCTTGTATGATATCTGGTTGCCAAACTACTAGCTGAAGATAATTAATTAACCTTATCTTGTTGGAGTTGCCAGTTTTGACACACTGCATTCCAAGTTCCAGTTAAAGGCACAACAGGAAAACAAACTGTTCTCTATGGAGAGGTTATGCTGTTTATTTCCAGCTAAAGTTTCACTAGAACAAGACTGATTTACACAACATATTTATTTCCTAGCAGAGATCACACATATAGCCTTCCACTATAGGCTCACAAGGTCTGCAGGATGTATTTGATAGCAAAGACAGTGTAACAGATTGAAAAACAACCTGTGGCAGAAGGCAAAAATTCTTACAGTAGCTCCGAGCTATTAAATGTATTATTGCTGCATTCATTTTCTATTGTGGTAAACAGATTTTCATTAGACATATTAGGCACATGTAGGTAATACAGAAAATGGACACCACAGATGTCCTTTAATTATGATTTCTGAAGAAAATACAAATCTTGTTACAAAAGAAATGTAATACAAGAGCACTGGGAGCATAGATAGTTTGTTCTCTTTGTACTTGTACACAGAACAGTGCAGGAATTCTACCAAGCACAAATCCAATGTGCCAAACTTTGTTATTCAGAGTTGAATTAAGGATGTTTTTACAGAGCAAGTTTCCAGGTCAGCTCATTATTAATGACTTTATATTTTTGTTCATTCACACTTCTAAGGATGCTGTTCCTTTCCTATCTGCTACCATGTTTAATGAACAATTTCCATCTGCAGTCAAATTGTAACACTGGTTAAGCACACAAGCAGTGGCAGCCTGCTTGTGCTCTACTTCCAGTGCACAGTGAGAGGTAAGGAGTCAATCTGGGCAGCTTTGTTCATCCAGAAGCATTTGAGGAGTTGGCTACAAAAAGAGAACCTAAGGTAACTAGCTTTCCTCCCAACCGAAGGAGCATTACTAAAGCTGAAGAGGAAGAATTGGTTTACTAGAAGTGTATTCAGTGGGCAAGCACTAAGGAAGTACACTGTATTGCTGTGTGTGCTTCTATAGCTGCCAATGACAGAGACTGCTCTGGAGAGATGAGACAGACTCACATAGTTCAAGTTAATAATGTACAGTTCACAACTCAGCAATGTGAACATTATGTTTTCAAGATCCCCCTGACTTCTGATTGAGAAACTTTGCTATTTTGGCTATGCAAGTTGTCTGTAATTCTTGCTCATCCTATTGTAACAAGAGAAAAGGTGCTTCAATCTCACTATGTAGAGAATGCCAGAAAACTGGGAGTGGTTTGATACAGCCACTTAAAAGGTGCACCAAATCAGAACTGAAAGCTTTATGAAGAAAAGTTATACAGGATGAATGGGGGGAAAAAAGACTGATGGAGCACCAATAGTTATGAGCTGCTGCATATCGTGCTCTAAGTGTTGAAGCACTTCTTCCGGAAAAGAAACAAAAGAACCAGAATAAAACAAGGTAGTTTTTTTTACTTTACTGTGAGGGCAGGGGGGAGGAGGGAAATACAGAAAAACACTGCTGAAAAAAACCCAGTCGAGTAAAAAAGGCTCATCATCAAATAATATCTATCATACCGAGATTCTTCACAATGCTGGGGAGAAAAAGAGCAGGAAACCACAGTGCCCTGTCTCATTGGCAACAATCATTTGATGCAATCTGTTTGCAATCCCTCTTTCTGTGTGGCACTAGACTTTCTCATTCCCACTTTTCAACAAGTGACCATCACAGCAGGAAGCATACTTAGAAAAGGTGCTCATACTTAGAAAAGGATCAGCTAAAAAGGCTGATGTCTCTATTTGTGGATACAGGAATACCAAAGTAGCTCATAATCTTAAAACCTGCCTGAATGGCAGCTTCCTAGAGAGGCGATCATTAAAAAAAAAAAAAAAAAAAAAAAAAAAAGCCCTTTTGTTTTTATCCTTTTCCTCAAGTATGAAAATATTGCCAATTGTTTTCTGATGCCTAAGTAAGTTTGAAGGGGTCTGGGAAACCAAGCAATCATGGAACTGGGGAATTATTTTAAAACTGTTGTTTTCCTAGAATCTTTCAGGCAAACTTTTAACACTAAGTAACACAACTCAGCCAGATTCAACATCATGCAGATCCCAGATACAGCAAGCATAAAAATAGTAAACATGGTTTTCTCAGTAGGCCGAGACACAAAACAATCCACCACGTTGGGGCAGGGCCACGCTTCACACTTCACCAGACGAGGCATCTGGTACCCATCATACATGTAGTAGAACACATACATGAAGACTGCTTCAAAGATGATCCTGAAGAAGATGCTGCAGGTATATGTCCACCACAGGGGACCTCGAATGTGAATCTTTTCATTCTTCAGCTCTTCAATATTAATTTTGTCACCATTTCTAAGTCGCCTTTTCTTCTCATGCCTCCTGTAAGCCACATGCATGGCCACCAGCAGCGCAGGGGTGGAAACGAAGATGAGCTGCAGGGCCCAGAGTCTGATGTGAGAGATGGGGAAAAAGTGATCATAGCAAACATTCTTGCAACCAGGTTGAAGTGTATTGCAGACAAAATCTTGTTGTTCATCTCCCCAGACTCTCTCTGCAGCCACAACCAGGATCATGATACGGAAGATGAACAGGACTGTGAGCCATATCTTGCCAATGCTGGTGGAGTGTTTATTTACACCTCCCAGAACAGTCTGCAGAGTTCCCCAATCCATCTTTTCTGTGTTCTTTCACCTGCAGGAAGACATAAAATACCAAATAGTTACTTTCCAAGCAGCAAAGAATCATTTCCAAACTTTCTATAAGCAAGAGGATTTCCTAGCATTCACTCAAGTCGTAGGCAAATTAAGTCACATTAAGTCTATCTTTACATTTGTGTCTGTATTGGTGGATTCAAACAGCTTAATAGACTCTATCCATTCATATATTTATGACACTAGCATACTCTGATATTTTTCTAACTAGTTTTTGGGTAGGAAATAAGTTATACCTTCAAGTGTTTCCTTCCCCCAAGCCCTCTTTCTCTTTCTGTGGTAGGCTCTCAGTGCACTTTCCAAATAAATAGAAAATTATATAATTATATAAAATAACTTTGACAAAACAATTTATTTTCATAGGATTTCTTTGCCAATGCCAAAGCCTTAGAAGGCTGTGTGGTGCTTGCCTTGCCTCCAAGGTAAGGACTACTGTGCCATCTCCATCAGAAGCTCTACTTCCTCCCAGATGCCTCCAACAGGTCTCTAAGGCTATCTGCTGCAGCTCAGACACATCCTTTGCTTGGCAGAACCTTCATCTCTAGGAGTACAGCATTTGATTTCACTGTTGAGAAACCTCAAGTCAACTCTGTCAGGGCTGTGCACATACAAAGCACCAATCAGCAGGCACAAGACAATTCTGCAGAGCCTGCCCTTCCACATTCAGCACTACCTCATCCAAAAAGGAGATTAACCAAGCCAGAGGGCTGAGAGCACAAAGCCTTCAACTGAAAAGTTTACGTTGATTTTCTAGATGATATCACACCCCAGTTAAATAAGAAATCAAACATCAGAGGAGTTCCATTTCTGTTCTCTCTTCCTCCTGCTCTTGAAGGAAATTCACTGTTCACCCTTTGACAATTAAGCTTAAGTTTTGCTGAAGGCAGAGCTTGATCTCAGGACCTGGCTTTCACTGCTCAGCAGCCATTTGGAAGCTACCACCAAATGCTTCAGATCCACAGCCAGGAACCTGCATAGCTGGTCCTGTATCTCCCAGGGGCAGGGCTCAATCTACCATTCAGAAAAGCTACAGTGGCCCTGGACCGACCAGAACTCCTGCTCCTCTTGGTGCAGAGTGTGCTTCGTCGGGCTGGCAAAGCCTTTAGATTTGCTAATTCTCAGGTAACAGCAAAAGAAAAAGAAAAAAAAAAAGGGAGAGAAGGAACTCCTTTACCCCGCTGCAGTTACACCACCAGAGAGGGATGCACACACCCGCGGTGCGGCCCAGCCTGTACAGACAGGCCTCCAGGCAGGAGGGAGAGGTCACGTCTACTGTCATGAGGAAAGGTTATGTTGGGTAAGGAAAAGAAAAAAAAAGAAAAAGCCTCGAAAAGGCGGCTGGAATTCCTCATGCTTCTTGTGTTCTCGTTGCAGAATGGCAGCATTCTGTGCAGCTTTTTATGCTGATCCAAAGTCACGGCTGTGGTCAGATAACTGCACTTTCTGTGAAGATTTCCTCTCACCTGTGGCATAGCCATTAAAACATAGAAATAAAATGAACAAAATGGGGCTAACGAGGACCGAAGGTAAAGTAACCATCCGAGGCGTATCCCAACAGGACCAACAACCCCAGCTCCAGGTGCGGGCTCACACCGCGCTTCGGAAGTCGTGGAAGAAGAAAAGAACACAGGACAAACAGGACATCCCCTGCTCCTCCCCACCATACAAACGCTGCGTTCGGCTGCGGGGCACCCGGCAAAGCCCGCCGCACGAGAAGATCCCGGCCGGGGCTCGGCGCGATCCCACGACTCCTCAAGTCCCAAGCCCTCCGCGGGTCTCACCTGGAGCGGCACGGCAGGGGTCCCGTGTTGCGGTGCCAGCGGACGGCCGGTCCCAGCCTCGCCGTCCCACAGCTCTCAAAGCCCTCCCCGCTCCGCCGCCGCCGCTTTTAACCCGCCCCGAGGCCGCCTCTCTCCGCCCGCGGGCGGGGCCGGGGTGCCCGGGGGCGCTGGCGGCGGAGCGGGGCCGGCGGCCAGGTGTGGGCACAGAGCTGAGTGGCAGCGCACGGCGCTCGCCCTGCACTGCGGGCTGCTCGGCGCTCCCAGCGCACGGTGCCCGGGAAAGGGCTGCACGGTGCCTTCGGCTCGCTTCTAACAGCGCTGCGACCAGAAGCCCTGCCGGGAAACGGTGCTGTGTGTGAAACAGCTGAGCGGTGGTGGAATGCCGTGCCTACGGCAGCAGGCATGATGGAGTCTTGTCTAGGGACGTGAAAGCACCGCTGGAAACAGTGCGTTTGTGCGCTGAGGTGAAGATCTGTCCTGAGTATTGCACTGTGTGGCGTGTCTGGAAGGAGAGACGCTTCCATCAGGAGTGATTTAAATAAATAAGCTTGTTCTAGTAATTTGCGTGGTTACAAAGTATGGGAAGCCAGTGCTTGTGTGGGTCTGTGGGTCTGCAAGATGCCCATGTGAGTTTGTTCTGGAGGTACAGGAAACAGTCAGGTGTGTAACATCTTTAAACGTTAATAGAAAAGAAATGTCTGGAACAACCAGCTCTGTTTTATAAAATATAGCAAAGTTTGATAGCGGTAAATGTAAATGCTTGAAAGAAATCCACACCTTGGTGCTGCTGTGGTGGCTTTCATGTACAGCCAAACCAGAACTGTGGTAAAGCTGAGAGTTACTTTTATTTCTTTTCATCTTCTTTTGCTTGCCTTCATGCGGGAGCGAGCAAGAGTGCTTACTGTGGGCAGGAGAGTCCTGGCTGAGCACACATGCAGAAACACAGCCATTGCTCACCCACTGTGGGGAAGCATAGTTCTAGTGGCAGTGGAGCGGTGAGTGCCACAGCGTATGTCTGTACAGAGCACAGGTTCCTGCTTTGTCCCCACCACTAGGAGTAGGGCTAACCCCTACTCTTCTGCTCCACGCACTCACCAATGCAGCAACTTGTGTCATCAAGATTCCATCAATCCATCTTTAAAGCACTGTTTGTTCAACATTTGTCATGCAGGAACTGCTTTATATTTTCATCACACTCATCACAATTTTTTGCACCCCACTACCTGCTGCATCTACAGTTTGCATATGCACAGAGAAATATTTTCTCAATGTTGTGTTCTCTGCTGTTTCCCTATTCACTTGTTTTCACCTTTCAAGCACCTCAGATGTGTGAGATGATTTTTTCAGTCAGCCCAAAGTTCTTTCCTGGGACATTCTAGCTAATAGAACTGATGCCTCCTGGAGTACGTGTTCCTATACACTTGAACAGCTATACTTTGGATTTATTTTCACATCACGTATTACACAGACATAATGGCCCAGGTTGGAAGGGACCTCAAGGATCATGAATCTCCAACCCTCTCACCGCAGGCAGGGCTGCCAACCTCTAAATTTAATACTGGACCGGGCTGCCCAGGGCCCCTCCAGGTTCCAGACATCCACAGCCTCTCTGGGCAGCCTGTTCCAGCACCTCACCACTCTCATATAAAGAGCTTCCCCCCTGACATCCAACCTAAATCCTCCCTCCTTCAACTTAAAACCATTTCCCCTTGTCCTGCTGCTATCTTCCCTTTCAAAGAGTTGAGTTTTCCTAACTGTGTAGTGGTTTACACCAGCTGACGTTGAGGCTCATTTGCTATATTGCCACTCAGTATGAGCAACTGGACAAGATCTGCTAATTCCTCATGGCCAGATTTAATTTTGACTACCATAAAGCTTCAGTTTTTTAATGTGCTATACATATTATTTTGATTTTTCCCAAATCATTAGTGCGGCAGATTCCATATCCTTCACTTCTGCTTAAAGCAAGGCTCTTTCTACACCTAGCAGCTAGCTGTTTTGTGGAATTATTTCTGAACAGGAAATGTAGCCATAGAGTCAAAATATATTTTGGAAACAGTCTTTATTTCTTCAAGGCTGAGCCAAACATATGCTACTCCTGACATTTTTCACCAACATCAGCAATAAAAGCACCTTCACAGTTCAACTCAGCTTGTGTAATCAGTTTGTTTCTACATTAATTCTTCACTCACTCACTTTAGTCACACCACCACACTTTAGCAGCCTTTGAATGAGCTGTTTTTACTCCTTTGATATCATTACACACATATTAGTGTCAGACAGACCCCAGAAAAAACAAGCTGATGCTGCAAACATTGAGTTTTTGCAATACTCATAGCCCAGCACAGACATCACTGCTTCTTTATGTTCATTTGCCATGCAAACTATCCAGGAGGCTCCTGGAGGGGAATGCAGCACCCGGCTCTCCTTCCATGAGTTAGATCTCCCTTCTAACAGACTTTTCCTGGAAATGACTGCAAAATCATCACATGCAACAGCGTAGGCACCTCCTATTCTGTTGGCTGTGCAAGGTAGTGGGGAGGTTAAACAACTTTCAGTCAGCTGTAAACCATAAAACATGTTTTGGAAGAGGGCAGCAGGGCCCCTTCTCAGAGAGGGCCCCATTTCACCTCCAGCTGCATCACGAGGATGCCCAAGCACCCACAGACAGAAGAGGGTTTATGAAAGAGAACTGCGATTTTCTTTGCTTCTGGTACCACTGTCCTTCGGAAATAATCTCCCCTCAGAGGAGGGCTGGGTGTGAGGTACAGGGCAGAGCTTGGGGCAGCCCTTACTTTGTGCTAATTGCTGTCCTTTGCTATGCACATTGCATGTCTGTAAATGCATTGTGTAGGCAAAGTTTTATCAGGTTCGCCAAGAACACTTGAATCTTTAATGCTTATCTGAGGAGCTATTGTTCTTCCATATCTCCTGGAGCACACAGCTTAGAAGAAGCCTGCATTAGTTTACTTATTCGGAGATAAGAATAGGAAGAAGCCAATGGGCAAGCACAGGTGACTGAGGAGAGAAGTCGCTAAGGGCAGGGTTGATGGAGCAGCAATAAAACTGCTAGGAACGAAGGGTGGGCAGTGGCAGTGCAGTGTGGGGACATGCTGAATGGCAGCAGTGTGTGAAGAACTGGTTCTGTACACCCCACAGGCAGGAGGGAGAGAGTGGGAGGGAGAGAGTGGGAGGAGAGCTCTGGAATTAAAAGTTCTGTAAATCACAGGAGTGAGTGGCAGGGGCTCAAAGGAAAGGGTGGGGAGAGCAGGCAGCATCCAACAGTGATGGGTGATTCCTCTGTAGAAAGCAGGCAGGATCCCTACTTTGTTTTGTTTAATTCAATCTGAGACAAGCACATTCTCTTGTTCCTTTTGTCACTATTCAAATCATTGACTATGTGACTAATCCAGCAGTCCACTGAGGTCTCCAGTGCAAGTCCTCAATCAGACTAAAAAACAAGAATGGTATGATTCAGTAACGACTTGGTTGCACCTGTACTTGTATCACGCTAGTCAAGTCATTTCTAGAATGCAAATATATGATGGCAAACATTTCCTCTTGCTCATCACATCAGCAACAAAGGAATCGAACTGGAAGAGTCATGAGGAACTAAATAGTTATGGATATCCTGCTGTTGAAAAGGAAAGAAAGAAAGAAAGGGAGGGGGGAAAAAAAAAAAAAAAAAAGAAAGAAATGTCTTTTACAAAATGCTTTCTAAGCAGAAGCTACAGTCAAATCCACACTAAAACCTTCCACCAACAGATCTGTGCTGGGTTACAGCTGTGGCCTGTAGATCACGTGTGTGAGTGGCTCTCAGAGTCAGCCTTTTGATACCCAAGTCTAGTGCTGATCCTTGGCACAAAGCCCCTTGTGAAACCATAGGAAATGTGTACCAGCAGTGTTGCAGGAAATGAGGACAGGATAAATTTCCAATGCACACTATTTGTTTTTTGATTCCTCAGTTCTTCTGTATTTTCCTATTTTAGACTTTTTTCTTTTGTGCAGTTCTACTAGTTGTCAAACTTACACCCATCCCATCAGTTGGCTCCTTCAAAGCTCAAGGCAGAAGTTCTCTGTGGATATTCAAGAATGGGCAACTGAGGGGTGAAAATAACTGAGCTCTCTGCAAGGTGGTTAAGTACATAATTTGAAGAATGCTTAAAACCTTCTAAATTTTGATGGCCATCTATACTCAGCAGAATCAAGAGGAGCATAGCATGACAGGGTCACATACTGATACTGGTGGGGAGCAAATACCCACAGTGTATTTGAGCACTGAAGCATGCAGGGCTATACACAAAACTAGCATTAGTCCTCCTATGCAGAGACAACATCAGGAGAGCTCTGGTGATGACAGAAAACCAAGCAGGCAGCCGCATGCTGCAGCTTGACTGCTGTTAGTCAGTGGGCAATGATTTGCAGCTGAAAAGTCAACAGAAGTTATGCAAGACTGCAAGGCTGCACATTGCACACAGTAACAAAGGAAGCTGAAGTGAAGAGCCTTTTGACCAAGGGCCACTGGGTAACTAATGAAAAAGGAGATAACATTCACAGACAGCATACGTACTTGGAAGGTGATTGAAAGCCTGCAGCACGAGGTGACAGGTTGTACTGGGAAAATGTGTGCTACGAAGAACATAAAGCAGGTAAGACAGTACAGTCTGCCAAGATTCATCCCTTCTCTTTGGGAGCAGCCTGCTTTAGGTGATCACCATGGCTCATCAGTATCTCTGCTGGACACCAAACAGCATTCAGGAAGGATTCAGATGGTATGTACTCACTGATGTTCCTCAAGCTTGAAAAGATACCCACCACAATCTACAACCTAAAAGAGGAATGTTATCAGCAGAGTGGAAATAGAAGCCAGTTTGCTGGAACGGTTCTTGGCTGCTTAGCTGAGGGCAGCTCCTCTTGTCAGAGGGGGGATGCAGAGCCTGCTTCACTGAGCTTGGGGCATGCTGTGTTTGGTGGTGTGCACAAACTCCAGATTAGCAGCACAAGTCTCAGATTTGGTATGTAAAAGCTGGTATGTAAAGATGAGAGTAAAATCAGAGGAAATATTAAATACCTTTCTAACAAAATTAAAAGG